ATCGAACGCTTATGGGAAAACTCTCTCGGGCGCAGATTCTGTGGTTTTTGCACTTGGGCTTCTCCGTCGGGTCATCGACGTTGCACACGCAACAAACGGGCATAACAATAACACTACCAGCAAACCATCGCGGAATGATAAAATAATACTACAGTAATTACTGTGTATGTATATTTCGTATAATTAACAAACACAGAGAGAATAAGAAGAACGAGTAAGAATGATAAAACTATTTTTTTTCTACATATAAGTATATTTTTATCTCCTATGAGGAGGTATTGTTCCTACACAACGCGATGACTTCTTTAAAAGTAGTAGAGTGAAACAGCTTTTATTAAATTTTTATTTCAATTCAAAGTGAGCTGCCCGCCACGCGGGTTGCCAAAAGACACAGCATACTGTATTCAATAAACAAATACGAGATGAGACAATTTTAATTTTACAATACAAATCAACACTATTAAATTTACAGTACGAGTAAATAACAAATTCAATAAAATATTATTATTATTTATTTCGCTTCTTCGGGTGAAATTTCAGGCCTTAAGGTCTGAAACTTATAAGACTGAGGTTAGATCTACAGTTTGGCTGTAACGTATACAATTTCCTCAAAATGAGTAGTCAAACTTTTTTTTTTTTAAGGAAATACCAAAAATAATGTGAGAACAACACACTTGTTTTGTATGAAATTCCCCGGTTGCTATGTGTGTGAATGAATGTTAGCAGAAAAAAATAATTTCAATATATTATTATTATCGATTCACCCATTGGTAACAATGGCAACTAACCCAACCTAACCTAACAGAAAATGAAGTGCCATACAGTTTTAAATACATAGTCACCTAGCAAGTTGACCTAGTAATGAAAAAACAATTTCAAAAAAAATTGTTTCTAGTAAATAGGGGGTTAAAAAAAAAACTAGTAGAATAATCAGGTCATGAAAAAAAAATTCTGTATTGATGGTGATGGCAGATGAGGGTTTGAAAAATAGATGAAGGGCTAAATTTAAAAAAAGTACTTTTTTGGATTTTTACTACTATTATACACATATAGTACGTGTATGTATTGTATTTTATATTATGTTTTCAAAATTTTAATTTTATTCTTCTAGTTTTTACGTACATTCAAAATCTGCACATTTTTTAAAAGTTTTTAAGTATTTTTTAATGTTTTTTCAGCATTATTCAAGCATGTTTTTATAAGATTAAAAAAAAGGGACTGTCCTGGATTCCTGGATTTCCCCGCACCCTTCAGTTATTTCTGTTTGTACAAAGTAGAAAACGTATACTTTGGGTTCGTATTATGATCTAAACGTATGTACACACACTAGTATGACACCACGAACTGATGGCCCCTCCCAACGAGGTAAACGCATGCCTACTTTCGATTTCGTACGATTTTTCGCATTCTTTCGTTCAAGGTTGTTTTCGTTTGAAATAAAAAATAATCTTATGGCAAACGGCCAGAGATCGGATTGTCGGCAAATTACTACAATTATTTTTCTTTTCAGCTAGAAAGTTTCAGACAAAATCCTTTTTTTTTTTTTTGTATTTTAATGACCAAAAATTATCACAATATATATATTCGAATAAAAATGTTATTTTTAAAGGATACCAGTAAGGGGTGAAAAGCACAATGATTCAATGTTACAAATATCGACAACTGGATAACCGGTTTTGGATAAGTTCTTCTCGAGTTGTAGGTATTTAAGTGTAGAATAGGTTAAGTATGTAATGGGTGCGGGGTAGACTGTAATGTTATTTACAACCACTCGACCGCTCCTTGCTCGCCTAAACTTTAAATACCATAAACCAAAACTGATTATCGACCAGTCATTATTTTCATTACATCGTTCTGCTTTTAACAGGTAACTATAGTCATCGTTTGTCATTTGATAATATTACCCTTTAAAATGATTTTTTTCCCCCCAAGTATTAAATAACATGTTTTATCGTTAAATAATACAAAATTGTATATAGTCAATCGAGTATAGTTTTAACTACTTCACTGAACGACAAGATTTTGAATACATTGATACATTATACGTTGCTTTTTTTCGCTGAATCAAAATCTGACTCAGCATTTTTCTATTGAGTCCATTGTTATTTTTTAAATCGCCCAAGTTGTAAAAAAAAGTATTTTTTTTATAGTATTTGCAGTGTATTTTGTATGTTTCGAAATGTTTTTTCAAATATGATTTTTTATACTATTTTGTTTGCTGACTTCGGAATTGTTCTCTGAATTAATGTAGAATTAGTAGGATACATTTTTATTCAACGCAAAAGGAGAATTTGTTGATTTTTGTCAGTAGTTTACAACTTAGCGGGTGGCGGTTCGGAAAACTTTTGGCTACCCAAACCAGACAAGGAAGACGACAGGTCGAGTGGATCATAATTTCGGAGGCAATTCAAGACATGTATATTTTTTTAAAGATAAGTCCATTCGGGTACAACAAGCAAATGACCATAAAACATACATTAGAAAACATCTAATAACGTCGACACGTGTAGGTACAACTTAGACTTTCTACACTGGTAAAGCCGCTTTATAGTACTCGAGGTACGGCATAATATAACAATAAAAATATATATTACATTAATACCGTCTTTGGATGGCGCGGCGAGGCGCGTTTGATATGGGTACGTACAACAGCGATGTCTATTGTATGTTATTATTAATATGTTATGTAACCAACCACGCAGGCTAGTCCGTTTCCTACCGGTACTGGGAACGATGAAAATTCCTTATGGATCGTCCGTCGGTTCCCGGAGAAAAATAAAATAACACATTTTTTTATGAAACGACCCTGGATGTGTGTTCGTTCGTCACAAAAGAGGCAGGAGAAGTGGCCAGACGGGATTCCTGTATAGAGGCGACCGTCTCTGTCTACTCCAGTATTATTGTATACGTTTCTTCGGTGTACAAATTACAGGTATACAATGTACATATGTACATGTATAGCGTGTATTCCTCTTGTGGTGTGTGTGTGTGTGTGCATAGCTGGTATGTACGGATAGGTGTCGGAATATTATCATATATTTTTTTTTTCATCTACAGGTGGGCCACCACCGTTCGGGTGTAATCGACTAATGGCGTACATAATATTAGTGTTATTATACCATACACATTGTGCAACGACTGTAGTAGAAATTATTGTATATTTTTCGCTTATAATATTATATTTTGCCCTCCGTTGCAACACGAAATAATAATATTATTATTATTACTATTGTAATGTACCATTGCGGCGGTACGTATGCTCGATTAACATTATCATTCAAGTCTGGCGCAAGTGACCCTTTTTTTTTTTTTAACCTATCCGCGTTTGGAATCGTCGTAATCACTCGTTGGATAAATAAAAAAATACTGTTTTGTGTATTTTACAATAGTGGTACATTGATTGCTGCACCGTGTGGCCGTGTAGGAGTTTGCAATGCCCGTGCCTCCCCTTTTGACGTTTTCGTTATACAGACACAGCTTACACTGTATACCAACACACACCGTGGGCTAGTACACATTAACAATTATTATCATAACATCAGGTATGAAATTCAACTTGTTTAACGGCCAACAATAATATTATCAGGGCCTAGAGTTATATACTTTTGAAAAAACGTTACCTAGTTTAGAAAAAAATTACACCGTCTTGGATTTGCTATGATCATATTAGGTAACAACGCATTTCTATTCTAATTAGTTCAAATTAAACCTGCCCGGTTAATAATATTATCGATAACCTATAGTGGCTGTTGGAAATAACTGGAAATGTTAGACATGTGATGTGGTGTGAGGTAATAATAATAACGCTGTAAACTACCGTATTTCAAACAAGTGTATAATATGTTGACATTTTTACCAGTGATCTTTTTATACCTTTTAATTTAAAGTCGGTTGGATTTTATTGTACAGCTTTTGCATTTTATTTATACTGTATATAACTTTGAAGTACATTTGCTAATAGGAAATACACTAGTTAAGGTGTTACGATGATATTGTCGATGGCGATTGATAGTGCTGTAATTTAAGATAATACATTTCGTAGCTTGTTTAATAAATGTTTTTTTTTTTTTGTTTTCTTACGGTAAAATGTTAATAATTCTAAAATATTATGTACAAAAAAAAGCACATCACGAATAGAGGCACGTATTTCTGATATTAAAATGTACAATGAATAAATTATTATTAACCACCTGTACGCGCGTACGATATGTGAATTGATTAATCTAAATGTATTGTTATTATTATTATTTACTCCTATTATTTTGTTTTTTTTTTTTATATACACATACTATATTGTTATTACCATTATCGTTCAACGGCTCATAATATTTATTATGTTATTATTATGGTGGCGAGTCCAACGTCCTTGGATAGGCCTCTATCGATCGATTGCCCCCTCGGGATACCGAAAAAAAAAAAATAAAAAAACCTCATCTGCTTATGTCTATAGAATAGCCCTTTTGTGTGCATGCGGCTACAGAGTTATGAAACCAAATTAGTTGTTTTGCATCAGTGGGCCAACCGCGTCCGTTGTGCGTTGATGACTTTTCAACACAATAATAATATCACTCGCGAAGATATTAATATTTGATAAAAAAAAATACATACATACAAAAAAATTATATTAAACACAACGCACAATGGACGCGGGGCCCTTCATTGTTGTTGGACGTGTCGATTTGTGACGAATAAACGTGAGACGCACTCTGAATAGAATCGCATTAAAACACAACGGCGGCGATTGAACTTTGTCGATCAATTATTATTAATACAGCTGTTATTATTTGTCGCCGTATTATGTTATATCAATAAGATATTATTCAAAAAAAAAAAAAAACCGAAAACAGTCTGACATTATTATCGTATCGTACGTCGTATGAAAGGCGTTCGGTTTGTATGTTTTATTAATTAAAAATAAAAACGTGTGTGTGTGTGTGTATAGAGAATAGCTGTTATTTTCCACCTCCACAGTAGTGGTGGTGTTTGTATTTGTCTCTTACCTTTGGGCATGCCACAGGGGCCGGCGGTCCTGCCCGTATCCAGGAAGTCCAGGTCATAAGACCGAGCCGGAGGGAACGTCAGGGCTACGTGACTCGCGGTCCTGCACACCAAGCAGCCGACCACGGCCAACACGAGTGGCCATGCGAGTGAGTTCATGTCGAACTTTCTCTAGAGCACTTAGGCTATGCTCGAGTCCATTTCGTTGGACCACCTGAAAAAACAATAATAAAGAAATTCGTAAAAAAAAAATGTCATTTTACATAATACCACATGTATACAGACACTAGACATATCTTAGAATAATAGCGATTTTGTAGTTTTTTTTTTGTAATATATATATTTTCCATCAAGACTTAGTTGTAACAGTTAGTTATAGCTGTAATAGTCGGCAGTTGCAATGTAAATATAAAAAAAATAACATAATAACACAGTTTAAGCCAAAATCAAAGTAGTTTGAAAAGAATATTCGTTACCACTCAAGGACATTAAGAATGTATAAAATTCCTGTTGATAAGATCAAATAATCGGCGTTGGCCACTTTCTTTGGTCGCGAGTTAGTCGTTTGTACGTTTTTGAGTCAAAAGACTTGGGCACTATCATACATTAAATTTTAACCGTATAAGGTTTACTGGAATAAAACGGTGTGAATAATAATTATTCGAAATTGGCAATCAAAATTGTTTTTCTAATATCGCTGACACAAATAACAGTTAGCCAGCTGCAGTATTATTGCATTGAACACTTCATGTGTTTCATATAGGTAATAGGCATAGCGGCAAGCTTCGACGGTGTTGGGAGGTCGTTGGTCACAAACCAAATGTCATTATTGTACATCTCTATGTACGTGCCCTTGTAAGTAAATTACAGATTTATCGACGTTTATCCGCTGGAAAAACACTACACGATTCCAAAACAACGCATTAGGCCGGCCCGGTTTTCTACCAGCATCCTTAACACGACTATCCTTGGACATTGTCGCCTTGACTTTTACCAAAGAAAAGTATCCGTTTATCCGTTAAAGTAAATAGGCCGAGCTAATTAATTTTGTTGGACCGGCGTTTGTCCATGTTCGTCATGAGTAGAGAGCGGATTTTCAAGTTTTTTATATTATTTTATATTTATTGGCACTATACATCTCAACGGGGGGTAAAGAATGTGGACAATTCATCGATTACGGAATACTTAGAAAAAAAAATACAAACTTTGCATATTGAAGCATTTTTTTGTTGATCAGATAATATTTTGTCCGCATAAATGTGCGATTAAATATATATATTTTTTTTAATATTTACCAATTAATTTTAAGATATGCTGTTTTAAAAGTTACTCACCTATGAATTAATTACCAAAGAAATAGTGAGCAATAGTACTAATAATTAATTCTTTGATTTAATATTATGTTGACATTAGTTTGTTGAATATATTAAAAATGTTTCGGTATTTAACGAATATTTTTTTTTCAATAATACAATTAAACATTTTATTAGTAGAAGCTTTTATCAGCGCATATGAGCATCGGTACTTTGAACTTTTTAAAAACTAAAAATCCACTCTTTTCACTTTATCTCTCTCTTCACAAATTAGATTTACCGGAAAAGTCGGATAAGTCTTGGTTTTTAATTTTTGCCCGGAGCTACAGAGGTATTGTTATTTTTTTATAAATTAATTGAGAAAACACCGATTTCGCCTTGAGTATTTTTTTTTTTTTTTAAACAGCTGTGGGGTGATGTGATATTTTATAAGTACACACACACACACAGTATAGTACTGGTGGCACAGCAGTCGGACAAAACAACTAAATAATCGCCTTCTTTTCAATTCAAACGGCCACGTTCGATAATTGAATTAACTGAAACGAATCTGTCGTGACAACATAAACATTGACAAATCTCAATTGGCCGGTCGTGTAGTCGTGGTCGCACCACTACAATAATAATATGATCAAATTTTGTATATTATTATTATTCAACAGCGTTGGGCTGTTACGAAAATAGAATATGGACCGGATGTCGACGATTTTAAACATATTCAATTCGTTAAAAAAAAAAAAAAAGCCGGATGTCATAATAAAGTGACTTTAATCGAGATTTATTGAAAAAATTATGTCGCACGCACACTTTTGTACTGGTCGCCGTTTTCGATTTGTCCAGTAGATGTACTATATTTGATGACACAGCCGAGTACCCAAGTATCACAACCTAAGTAGTACTACTTTAATGATCAACGTCTAAAGTCAACCCAAATTTTTGATTGAAATGTCTGAATTTTATTCAAATAAACACACACACATTAAGGATAACAATAGATTTGTCTGATTAGATTAGGATAGGTTAGAAAACAGACAGTTAATTTGGCTCCTTATTACTCTTTTTATTTCTAATTAACAATGTTAACGAAAACGTAGAGCCCGTATGATTTAGTCGCCATCGAATCAATTGTCATTTATCGCACTACGATTGTGATTGTTGACCTTGCAGACATACTTGACGGTTTAAACCAATTGCTCAAGGTGCAATTTGGGACACTCGAGTAGTACTCTACGGGTTTACGGACAAACGAGTGATGTGTAGCTTCGATGACTCAGGAGGTTTGTATCTGTGGCCCACGATGACTTTTTACACGCACTGTGCCAGTTTGTTCGTTTATACATACAGTCCGTCAGAAATCGTACGCCGAAGATACTAGTACTGTCGCGTCGAGGCCTAACACAAGTCGTTTGCTCGGATTTCGAAAATCGGACATGTACATTGTTACCTATACACACCGTTGAATAAACTCCGACAAAGTCAAAGGGTTGACAACCTTGCGGCGGTATCGACGGCCGGACGTGCTCGCCCAAACATGTAATTAAAAGACACGCTCGGTGTTCTTCTTTTCATCTCCCAAGATTTTTCAGCGCCTGAGCACCGACGTTGTGTGTATAGACATGTGCGTTAATAACACCACGGTTTCGCCGGTGCGCGATTTCCAAAATCTCGATGTTAATCAGTTCGGCCATGTCATCACTCCACCGAACACGAACACACTACTATACTATTATTATTGTTTATTATGCGACCGCCCGTTTTGCATAACATTCGCGTTGTACAGCTGCTGTTCTACACACAGAGACCCGTATAGATCAAATCTGCACAAGCGTCTTTGTGGAAGATAGAAAACGAAATACCGAGTGAAAACGAAGACACTCCCATTCGCAAAACAAGTCTGACGGCAAAGCGTCTCCTGGAAACCGTCTGTCTTCGACGTCTAAATAATAAGTTTCTCTTACTGTTTAAAAAAAAAAGAAGTTCGAACAAATTAATATACCAATATCGTCGGAACAATTAAATTCCGGTTTTAGCGATGAACAACAGCAACGGAACCGACAGTCATGGTTTTTACAAATGGAATTGGAGTCCATTAACCGACCTATCTGCATTCCTTTAGAAATATCCAATTTTTTTTTGTAATTAAACTATTTTTTTTTTTGTCAAGATATAGCGTGTCAAAATTAAAAACCGTGGTATGATACTAGATATGTCATGGCCCAGATATATAGATATAGCTTCGAAGAGTGGAAACTTTTTTCCTAATTTTACTTCTCTAGGTGTGGTTTTAGGGCTTAATGTCTGAAAATTAGACTGGTGGTAGATCTAGAATGAGGCTATAACATAGCTCTCGTAACAGCTTTTTAAACCGAAAAAAAACGAGAGAAAATTACATTGACGCCGTATTAAAATGTCCAGGTTGCTATGTGTAAATGAATCAACAGTTGACAGGTATCTAAAAAATGATTACACTATATTGTTGCTATTGTCTATTGGTATCATAGGCGACTAACCTAACCCAAACCTAACACAACCTAACAAAAAATTAAGTGCAATACAATAATTTCAAGCACATTTTTCTTTTACAGTAGTTTTTATCTATATCCAATACTTATACAATCTAAAGATTTCAAATATTGAAAAATAGAGTTTCATTATTATAGACAGACAATCAACAATCGAAGCGTTTACTTGAAAGTGATTTCATCATTTTCAGTTATAATAACTCCTCGAGACCAGTGACAACGTTGTCCCGGCCACACTTTTTTTTGTTATTAATTATATTATATTATCGTTAGAGATGTTTTGCAAAAATATTCTGCCGGCCATAAGTCATAACGTGGCGTACACGGAAGACGGTCCTGCGACTTGAAATCATACTAGTTAAGAAGACCCGTCCGTTACATTAATTCGCCCCGAAGCTATAGCATAATATGTAGGTACCCATACTATAAGTGCTATGGCGTAACACCCGGGCCGCGGTGACCCAATCGTTGGATTAAATTATATTATGTTTAGATAAAACCGTACCTATATGTATATATTGTATATTGTATGCAGAATATAAAAAAAACCGACACACATAGTGTAGCCGTACCTACAGCCGCCAAGATTGACCGCGCCGAGTCTAGCCCATGGGCGTGTGATGGCAGCCAGATGAGTATCAGCTATACTATGTATGAATATACCCAAGTGTGTGCTGAGGAATGTGGACTTGGGACCGCGTGTGTTGTCATCGGACGCCGACGACAGTGTTTTTCTAGGACACGACGGTTTAAAGTTTTCGCAATACATGTAGTTGTGTTTATACACAACTGGCCCGTATAGCATGTGGGATTCAATATTATGTATATCTAATATATTTTTTTTTTTATAATATAACGCGAAAGCTATACGAGGCCCGAGGCGTTTTATACGGTTCCTCCTCTTTCGGGCGCGCTAATAAGACATTTGTCGTTTTGTTTTTCCCCAACATCGCCGTCGTCAACATAATAGTGCATAATATTATAATATCAAAGTAGGCGCAAAGTAGTACACGATTCCCGCTGCGATAGGAACACAATAAAATAATAATAATAATAATATTTATAAATGCAAAGGAACCTATCCTTTTCCCGCATGGCCGCGGTGGATTAATAATATTATTATTGTCGCTGTTGTTGTAATACACAACGGTCCGGATTCCGGTTACAGTTAGGTACGTTTCTCGGCGTAGCACAATGTTATTTATGTATTATCTTATTGTACACGAGACCTAACCTATAGTAGCATACGACGTTACCGGACGTTTAAGTCACCGCGAGCCCGAGACGAAAAGTAATTGATCAACACACTCGCCAAAAACGAGACTTTAATCACTGAAATGTACCGGTTTGTATAGTAACACACAATAAACGTTCCAAGC